ATATATAACAATAATATCTAATATTCGAAATATAATTCGAATAGAATAAAATTCTTTTCAAAAAAAAAGTACAAAAAAGAAGAGAAAAATAAAGGAATAAAAAATGTAAAAGATTATTCTCCAAAAGTAACAAACTCCGATCGTCAAGATAAGTCCATATACATCGAAAATCCGCGTTAGATAAAAAAAAATAATAATAATAATAATAATTATTGAACATAAATATACGATATAATAATATTAATAATAATAATAATTATTATTATTATTATTATTATTCGACTACTTAACAACAAACAAAAAAGTATAATAGATAAATCATTTTGTTTTTTATAATTTCCAAAGTATTTTTTATAAATATTTTTAACAAGCTTTTTTGTTTGTTCGTTCGTTGGCTAATTTTCAATCGTGGTAACGAAGACAATGTCTATAATATATATATATATATATATTATAGAATTTTTTGTTCGTTTAAGCTTGTGGCCTTAGTTGGAAAAGAAGATCAATGATGGCCTCATCAACTAAAGTTGAAACGTCACCGACATTTCTGTCACCAGCCGCGATCTTCCTCAATATACGCCTCATAATTTTACCTGATCTCGTTTTTGGTAAACCAGGTGCATGCTGAATAACGTCTGGTTGGGCGAATGGTCCAATCTTTTCTCTCACTGTTAAAATAAATCAAAAACAATATATATATATATATACGTATTCATAAATTACAAATGACAACAAGTGGTACCATGATTTAATATTGATAATAATTTTTCTATAATATATAAATAACGAGAATGTAAAAGAAAAAAAAAAAGATATATAAGAATATAATAATAAAAAAGAAAGAAAAAAAGAAAAGAACACTTACCTCTTTGTTTGAGTTCGTCTTGCAATTTCTTTTCAAATTTGACGCCATCATTGGGTGTAATAAAACAATAAAGACATTGTCCTTTAACAGGATGAGATTTGCTAACTACAGCTGCCTCAGAAACCGAAGAATGACCAGCCAAAACGCTTTCTACTTCTGCCGTAGACATCAAATGTCCAGAAACATTCAACATATCATCAATACGGCCAGTTATCCATAAATAACCGTCTGCGTCTCGTCTGGCGCCTATATATATATAAAAAAAATAAAATAAAATAAGTCAAAATGTTCAGTAGCATTCGATTTAAAATTTCTTTAGATCAGCGTTTCTCAACCTAGTTTGCTATACAGTTTAATGTATTTTTAGGAGAATCTAGATTGATATTATTTTGTATATTATCTTAAGGATACAATTTGTTACTGTTCGTTATGCTCGTGAACTCCTTAAAATATTTTACGAAGACTTTCTAGAAATTTTTAACTAATTAATTACTTTCTCCTGACTTTGGTAACAACACTATCCACACATTTACAATTAAGTGATATATTAAAAATTTATCGCAAGCTTTCAGTTGAGTAATACTGTTTTAAATAACAAAAGTGAACACGTTTCGATAGTCAATTGTTAAACGTATCTATCAGGAATAAAAACATGTCTATTTTTCATTGACAATAATAATAATTAATAATAATAATAATAACAGAAGGAAAAAATTTATTTTCAATCAATAACATGTGAGACAGTACGAAACATTTCAATTTCATTTCGAGTCAATTAATCCAAATTTTCTAATATTTGTACTCGTAGTATAGCAATCAATAAGTTTTCTCAAAAACACCTAAGTTCGAAGGTTAATTAAGGATAAAAATCAAAGATGCCGATACAGAAGGTGAAAGCTCGGCAAATATTTGATTCAAGAGGAGATCCTACTTTGGAGGTTGATCTTATTACAGATGTTGGTCTGTTCAGATCGTCAGTTTCTAGTACATTGGTATCAAATCCTAATCAAGCACAGGAAATTAGAGATGGAAATGAGGGTGCTTATCATGGTAGATCGGTTTTTAAAGCCGTTGATATAGTCAACAACGTGATAGCACCTCAATTATTAAAATCAAAATTAGAAGTTTGTCAACAAATGGAAATTGATAGTCTGTTGAACAGATTAGACGGTACTGAAAATAAATCAAAGTTAGGTGCTAATTCAATATTAGGGGTTTCTTTGGCATGTTGCAAGGCTGGTGCAGCAAAGAAAGGTCTTCCGATTTATAGGTTAGAATTATTATAATTATTAGCTTACAATTAGCCAATAAGTTTGTTAGGTTTTGTTTCTAATGAGGTAAACGTTAGATTGTGGTAGTTTAAAATCGATTTTGTTAGCAACTTTGAAAATGTTTTTGGTCTAATAGTATCAGTTTTTATATAATCAAGATAATATTGTAGGTATATCGCTGAATTAGCAGAAAATGGTGATCTGTATTTGCCAGTACCCTGTTTCAACATGATCAGCGGTGGTAGACTCGCTGGTAACAGTATACCTTGCGAAAAATTTATGATTCTACCTATTGGAGCTGAAAGTTTTGTCGACGCTATGAAAATGGGTAACGAGGTATATCGTGTTTTGGAGAGAAAAATAGCGGAAGCTCAAGAAATTCAATTACCACTTCCCGTCAGCGATGATGGTGCTTTCGTACCACTTTTAGAAGACGACAAGGATGCTCTTACTCTCATAGACGAATCGATAAAGGACGCTGGATACGAAGGAAGAATAAAAATCGCTTTAGATATGGCAGCTAGTGCTTTTTATAAAGAAGGTTCATTCTGATTGATATGTTAAATATTATGAAATTATTAATATACTTTCCTTCGTTACATTTTTTTTTTTTTAATTAGGAGGCTACGATTTAGCTTTCAAAACCGAAGAATCTGATCCCGACGATTACATGGAAGCTGAAGCACTGAAAGAACAATATATAGATTATCTAACCGATTTTCCATCGATTGTCTCGATCGAAGATCCTTTCGATCAGGAGGATTGGGAAGGTTGGTTGACTTTAGCCGATCAAGAAATTCAAATTGTCTCGGACGATTTAACAGCCATGAACATAGAAAGAATCGAAGAAGCGATAGAACGACAAATGGCTAACTGTCTTGTTCTGAGAATGTCACAAATCGGTACGATTACCGAGACCATCAATTGTGCAAGAATGGCTAGGATAAACAATTGGGGATACGTTGTCGCGGCTGGACAATGCGAGACGGAGGACAATTTCGTAGCTGATCTTGCCGTGGGTTTGTCAGCGGGTCAATTTAAATCAGGAGCACCGTGTAGAAGCGAAAGAACAGCCAAATATAATCAAATCATTAGGATCGAGGAAGAACTTGGGAAAGATGCCAAATACGCTGGACTAAATTACAGAAGTCCTCTTGCTAAATGATCGATGATAATTTATGTGTATCCTATATAAATCCTTGTACTTACCGTCACCCGTGCAATAATATCCGTTAAATCTGCCAAAGTAGGTATTTTGGAAACGTTGGTGATTTCCAAATAAAGATCTCATCATTCCTGGCCAGGGTTGTCGAAATACGAGATATCCTTCACCTTCACCTTCAATCACATGACCATCCTCATCCAATAGTTCTGGTAACACTCCGAAGAAGGGAAAGGCCTATCGAACGATTGTGCAATTTTAAAGATTATCTATCTCTATCTCTCTCTCTCTCTCTCTCTCTCTCTCTCTCTCTCTCTCTCTCTCTCTCTCCCTTTTTCTACTTTGTAATGCTAATTAAATGTGAATGAAAATTCTTAAGCGTACCGCTGATCCTGGTTTCATTGGGGTCGCACCTGGTAGCGGTGTGACAACGTGACCGCCAGTTTCCGTTTGCCAGAATGTATCGACGATACTGCACTTTCCATGACCCACCAAGTTGTACAACCATAACCATGCTTCTGAATTTATCGGTTCACCCACAGAACCGAGAATCTGTACACGACATTTCTCATTCTTATCTTTTTTTCTCTTGTAATTATTATAGATAAATATTATTTAAACGTTATCGGTGTTACGTAATACGTCAAGATAAAAAAAAGAAAAAGAAACATAATATTTATTTTAAATGGAACCAAATGATTTTAAATATCGGGGTGAGGGTCGGGAAGCCGTGGGGATTCACGTAATTTTATCATATACATTTTTTGTTTTTTTAAAGTTAGATTAAAAAGGAAAAATTATCAAAGACCAATTGAATAATCATTTTTGGGAATTTCTATGATATAATATTTACGATTGCGTAATCTCGTATGCGCGATTGCAAATAAAAAACAAAAAGAACAAAATTATTCATAAATTTATTCGCACGCGTGCGTTACGATAAAGAAACAAATGTTAAAAATGATTCATTGTGATTTACCTTTAAAGTAGATAGATTATGTTTCTTGACATATTCGTCACCAAACTTTATGAGCGATCTGATAGCAGTTGGAGACGTATAAAATTGAGTGACCTTGTACTTGTCTACGATAGCCCAATATCGATCATTTTCTGGATAGAATGGTGTACCTTCGAACTGTTCATTAAAACGTATAGCATATTAATAATATTTCTAACATGCGATTTGAATTATTGAGAAAACACAATCATAAACTCACCAGAACTGAGGTTGCACCATTAACTAATGGACCATAAACGACATAAGTGTGACCAGTGATCCAACCGATATCTGCGGTACACCAATAAATATCACCAGGATGATAATCGAAAACATATTTGAACGTTGTTGCTGCATAAATCAAATAACCAGCCGTAGTATGAAGAACACCTTTTGGTTTTCCAGTAGAACCGCTATAATTAATTATAAATATGAAATAATTAATGACGATTATTCAAATAATAATTGAAATAAATGTAACAATAAATACATACCTAGTATAAAGAATGAAAAGTGGATCTTCGGCGTCCAACCACACTGGTTCACATTTACTTTCAACTTTCTCCATTTCTACGTGCCAGCAACAATCGCGTTCGGAATTCCAGGATCCAGCTTTCAATTAATCGAAAAATTAATTTTCTCTTCTTCGTAATATTTATTTATTTATTTATTTATTTATTTATATAAATTTTTTTCTTTCTTGTGAATA